TATCTCAGATTCTCCAGCATCTGCAGTTCCTACGATCTCTGAAGTAAATATGACTTACTTGGACTTGATCCAAGCCATCTATTTAAAGGTGAATTAGAACAAAAGGAAATAAATCTTGCAGTTACTAAATCTATTCATAAACTGGATTTTTTCTTGTCTTCGAGCACAGAAGATACGCAAGACCTGAGTACAAGGTGTAATGAAGTCTTGCTTCAGCTGTGAAGGAGTTTGGTTAGACTGCACCTAGAGTATTCTGTGCAGTTTTGCTCTCTTTACCTCAAAAGATATTGCCATAGAGGGAGCACAATGAAAGTACACCAGACCTGTTCCTGGGATTGTAGGTCTGTTCTTTGGACATATTGGGCAAATTGGGCCTGTACTATCCACAGGTTAAAAGAATTGAGATGATCTCATTGAAACTAATAAAATACTTAACTGAATAGGGTTGATACAGATGTTTCACCTGGATGGGGAGTCTACAAGCAGGGAACACAATTTAAAAACAAGGGAGATGTCAGTTGAGACTGAGATGAGAATTTTATTTTGTACTCGGTGGTGAATCTTTGGAATTCTCTACACCAGAGATTTCTGATGAAGGGTCTCGGCCCGAAACGTCAGCCTTTCTGCCCCTATGATGCTGCTTGGCCTGCTGTGTTCATCCAGCTCTGCACCTTGTCATTGAAAACTATTAGCTTGTTTTTGGTTCAGAAGAATCAAGGATTGATTTCAGTTTAGGAAGCTCCATAGAATGGATGTTTTTGAGGCAGTTAGGAGGAGAACCTGCCAGGTATCAAAGTTCTCTACAACAGAGGAATATGTTATCTTAGTCTAGTTTGTGGAAGTAACAGACCAGGAATTTAGTTAAAAATCGGCAGATTATTGAATGCTGAGAACACCTGAGCTCTTAGTTTTGTGAGCATGCGTGTAAGAAGACTGCACAGTTCACCAGTTTACAGGACAGAAATGGGGGAGAGTCAGTTACGTTTAACGTAAGATTCATATTGAAATGTAATTTCTCAGCATTTGAATCACTATAAAATGGTGTTGGGGAATATGTTGAAACTTCAGTTTGCTGGATGTTTTAAGATTTTCTGTGTTCCACACCTAGAAAGAGTGAAATCTTCCAAACCCTTGATGACATGAGCAATACAAAGTCAGTTGGGAAAATATGGCAAGATTGTGATTCTGATTTTCCCAATGTCAGAAATAAGTCAGGTTCTGCAGTGAATCTCTGAATGTAAAAGCAAGAATCTTGGTCGTGAGCAGGAAGACTCCTGTGTGCATTCTATCAGCATCTAATCTCAACACATTGATGTGCATCTTCCTATTCTTTGCGTTGGCTAGAAACTGGACAAAATTCCCAATTTGAAAGTCAGCACATACTTGGTGGCTCCATCTTGGACAGCAGTCCCTAGTACTTCAGGTTATATGTCCCGGACAATAACAGCTCCCACCCTCATCCACAGAGGTTGAAATCGGACAAATGCCAGCCTAACCACGTCGTCATGGCACAGCTCTGACCTACTTGCAACATAGTTGACCCATAATGCTGCTGGAGTACACAGGAACCCTTCATGATGCTGCTGCCAGGACAATTTGCATGCATGGGCAAGTAACCTCTTCATGGATTGGACCAGGATGCATCATGGGTTGTCTTGCTTGTTCTCAGCATTCATTCATCTCTGCTTTATCTTGCCATTCTGACGCTTTGCCTTATTTAGAACTCAAGTTCAGTGTTTCTGTTCTTGTCTTGCTGTTTAGTGCAATCACAAATCTGGGCAACCTTTCATGGTTGTCAACAGTAATTAATCAAGGAAGTAGACATTGCTGTATGGTACCATGCTATATAAATATTACACCTGCACATGAAGCATGATGGTTTGGGTGGCTAATCTGTCAAGCTGGGCTCAAGGTAATGTTGGGGGATGAAGACCTAAATCAGTTAAGTGAGAACATGTGACAGCTCAGGAACAAAAACAAAGTTGCTGGAAAAGCTCAGCAGGTCTGGCAGCATCTGTGAAGGAGAAAACAGAGTTAACGTTTCAGGTCCGGTGACAGCGTCCGCAGTTCTTTCGGACTCTTTCGGATAGCTCAGTACTGAGGAGATTGACAGAGTGCAAGGGAGAAAGTGACGTGGAGACTCTGGTACCTGGAGCCTGGGGTACACTGTACCAAGCATAACCTGCATTTATCTTCTGCTTTACTTGGCTGTACTATCTCTTCAAGGGATAAATACATGAATTGCACATGAAACGCATGCAGCGTGGGATACAAATCATGAGTGCAAGCAATTTTGAGCATGTTATTACAGACTAGTCATCTCTGAAACAATAATCACAGGTGACCTTATAATTCAATTCTCAATGTGGGCCGCAATTCCCAAAGACAGTCCAAGATCCTGTAGATTTCCCCTAGTTTTGAACTGTAAGTATTCGTTAACATGCCTCTTGTATGCAGCGCTGCCTTGCGTCAGTGATGTGGGGTATTGGGACAAAGTGTCAGTAATCGTCCTCACTTACAATGTCCTGCTGTATTTACGTACAATTACTTGTACCAATAGATTGGAGTAATGCCCCCTATCTTAGACCTCTGCATGGCCTTCATTGTTGGGATCCTCCGTTGAGAACTACGATAAACTGTCATTTGTGTGTGATTAATAAGTCAGTAAGTCTGCTGAAGATGACTTGATGCAGCACGGAGCTGGAGGAACACAGCAGGTCAGGCAGCATCGGAGGAGCGGGAGGGTCAATGTTTCAGGCCTAGACCCTTCATTAGGGTCTAGGCCCGAAGTGTCAATTCTCCCGCTCCTCTGCCTGACCTACTGTGTAGAGCCAGTTCTCTTTCAAATATTTCTGACAGATGTTCATTTGGAACTGTGACCAATAGATATAGCCACGGCAGAGGTTATTTCCGCTGTGGGAGCAGTGCTACAAAGGCACAGTGAAACGAAGGACCAAAAGTGCTAGCAAGCCCAGGGCTAGCAGTCCAG